GGTCCGTCACAACATGAGGAACTGTATTAAAGGGTCACCACAACATGAGGAACTGTATTAAAGGGTCGCCACAACATGAGGAACTGTATTAAAGGGTCGCCACAACATGAGGAACTGTATTAAAGGGTCACCACAACATGAGGAACTGTATTAAAGGGTTGCCACAACATCAGGAACTGTATTAAAGGGTTGCCACAACATGAGGAACTGTATTAAAGGGTTGTCACAACATGAGGAACTGTATTAAAGGATCACCACAACATGAGGAACTGAATTAAAGGTCCGTCACAACATGAGGAACTGTATTAAAAGGTCCGTCACAACATGAGGAACTGTATTAAAGGGTTGTGGCATTAGAAAGGTTGGGAGACATTGATCTATAGTAATGCTCAGTGTACAGTGACATCGACTGCGATAACGTAACATGCATGGAACATTGCCTCCTTCTCTACCATGCACAATGACTGCATTTCTCCCATGCTCTTTATCATCACTCTGATTAAGCTGATCTTCCTGACATATTTCAGCCACATTAAAGCTACAGTGATCTGGAATGAACAACAATGGAAGGTATGGTTATTGGAAGTAGAGGACGAGGTTTACTGACAAACATGTAGAGCAGGCGTGTGACAAAGACCGTAGATATGACAAAACATTTGACAGGGAAACTAGCATGGGATCTACTTCTTCTTTGCCATCACCGGCTGTAAGCTCTGGCGGAAAGTTCTGGTTGTTCATCCACTCCTGTTCCAGAACCTGAGTGTTGCGTGTACATTTGTTTCACAGATCGGACTCATTTGCATGCAGACTGTTGGTTCCTTGCCTCTCAGGCAGTTATGCTCCGTCTTCGAAAGAAGCTCCCAATTAGTCGACTCTTACGACATGCTTTTGCGCAGGCAATGAGTCTATTCTTGGTTTCCCTATAACTGGGTCCTGGAACCCACACGGAGAATGGGATCTACTAAAGTTGCTGAAATATATGTGCACGAGATGGGATCTTCTAAAGTTGCTGAAATATGTGTGCATGTGATGGGATCTTCTAAAGTTGCTGAAATATGTGTGTATGTGATGGGATCTTCTAAAGTTGCTGAAATATGTGTGCATGTGATGGGATCTTCTAAAGTTGCTGAAATATGTGTGCATGTGATGGGATCTTCTAAAGTTGCTGAAATATATGTGCATGGGATGGGATCTTCTAAAGTTGCTGAAATATATGTGCATGGGATGGGATCTTCTAAAGTTGCTGAAATATGTGTGCATGGGATGGGATGGGCATATGCATAGAACCCTTGGTTCTAGAAGACCTTCTTTTTCTAATTACTGACTTTCCAAATACTCCATGTGGGTTCCACACAGAGAGACATATATCCTAGAGCTCACAATGAGGGGAAATGTACTCAGCAAAACACACAAGGAGACAATATCCTGAAGCACACAATAGCACAAAACAAGCTCTTCACTATCAAGGTTAGTTGCGTATCCTTTACAGGGCGTTGCAGAACCAACCCCAACAGCCCCTGGCTGTTGTGTGGTTTTTCTAGGCAAATTTTACGTCCAGTAGTTTGCCATGCTCTTCACTATAAAGCAAGGAAAATTATACCATATAGTATATAAAGGGAAATTTTTCCTACAATATACAAAAAAACATATTTTTGAGACTGTAGGTGGTAAACAAAATTTGATTGAAAAACAGCATTGATTAAAAATGGTTTAGCAAATTGTTCAAGTTAAATAATAGAACTAGCAACACGAGATTCCTTCTCAGAACCTGATATGTAAAGTCTTGTAGTTGCAGCTAAACTCTCTCCAAGTTAGAAAGGCAGTCACCAATATTGCAACACACAACTACCAGGAACACCCCTCAATCTATTAGGCTGCCATAACATAACTGTGTTGAGCCGCTGAAGAGGCTTTCCAGGATTTGCTCATGTTAGATTGTTGTCTCTGGAAGAATGTGTCACCGCTTTTGGGTGTTTATCTCTTGAAAAATAATCATGGAATAGCGAAAATAAAATTTATAAAAAGTGTAACACCAGTTTCTATACCATGAGGTGTATGTTTGATTCCTTTTCTTAAACAAAAATAAATCATTGGCAATCAATGGTTGAAGTCAATATTATATCAGCTATGTTTGCTTCCCATGACAATTCCTGGCACCCATTTAAGGCTGAACCTATCTAGGATCACAGTTTATATTTTTTACACCAGCCTTGTTGGGAGTTGAAACCCTCGACCACTAAGTCAAGAGGCAAGCATGCTAGCTTAGTTCAGCCAATGTGACACACAAATAAAATCACAACCAGATCTGTAACGTTATACACACACTCAGTTGCCAGGATATATGCTAGCACGGATTCCAATCAGAGGTAGATTAACGATATTGCAAAGATATGAAATCAACTACTGCATTTATAGGGCTGTGTCAGAAAGGACAGTGACCAGATTTAGCCATCTCGGAGCAACATGATTCAAGAAACAAGACTAGCAAGCAGACTCTTGCCTGGACAGCAGATGGAGCAGGATGATTCGAAACCAGCGCAAAAATACTTTTGACAACTGCTTTCAAATCACAGATCAGATAAAGGGGGGGGGGGGGGGGACAACATACTAGAATAACTGAAAAAAATTTGCACACAGACAGGGGAAACAATGAGAAAAGATTTGACACCTTTACATTATGGTATGAAAAAAAAAAATGACATAACACAAACTGATACACTGGAGATCATGGGATGTGGAGAATCATAATCGCCCATGCCAGTCGGCAAAGCACTTGATGATAGTATTACCCTGGAATATACACTGCCTAGAACATGACATATGTATTTATGCACAATATTAACTATACACTCATACATCATTTTTCATGATGTTTATAAAGCAATCTAAAACAGTGCCCTTCAACCCTTTTTTTACAGCTGCGGACTAAGAAAACAGGAGACATTTTTTGAGGAACCTGCCAATGGCAAAGGCAGAAATCAAAAACATCATCATCATCTATAAGCAGTTCCTTCACAGAACGACACACTCAACACAGCACACCTGAAAGTCTCTTTCTCTAGCCAACTGCCCTGCCCTATGTGCCTTCATAGCCAACACATCTTCAATCTTGTATCCACAATCATGGAGGTCTACCTCATTTGCCAGAAACTGTATGCTCTATTACCTCTCTCTCCAGGCCACAATGACGTTTAACATGGCCGAAATATCTGACCTTTCGAGACAGATGCTGTTTATGAGCCAATTACACTAAAAAATTAATTTAAAAAAACACCTAGATTTAAAAAAAAAAAAAAAACTTGCACTGCTAGATTGTGGGGCAAAAATTTTAGGTGGACCGGCACTGCCTAAATTTCCACAAACCAGCGGTGCCTAAATTTTGCTGGTCTGTGGACCACATGCTGCAGAGCACTGGTCTAAAACAGGACCTATTCACAATCCTCAAAACTGGATGTGCACTCACATACAATCTACAATATGGTAATTACATACATGCATTCATACAGTTTACAAATTACTGTATTTTCCTAAAATAAGATGTACTTATATTCCCAAAATACACCGTCTAAAAACATGATGCATCTTATACAACTGTAGTCGATTTTTTTTTTTTTAACTTTCTAGGAAAATATCCTGAACAGGGCCTAATTTGGGAATGAAAGTTCAAGGAAAACATGAAAAGTTGCCAGGAAAGACGAATGGAACCAACGAATAAAGTCTTCTGGGGGAAAAGATCCTGGGATAATGTGAAGACTGAGGTCTGTATATGGGGGGAACAAATCCTGGGATAAAGTGAAGACTGAGATCTGTATCTAAGGAAACAAATCCTGGGATAATGTGAAGACTGAGGTCTGTATATGAAAAAACAGATCCTAGGATAATGTGAAGACTGAGATCTGTATCTTGGGGAACAAATCCTGGGATAATGTGAAGACTGAGATCTGTATCTGGGGAAACAAATCCTGGGATAATGTGAAGACTGAGGTCTGTATCTGGGGAAACAAATCCTGGGATAATGTGAAGACTGAGGTCTGTATATGGGGGAAAAGATCCTGGGATAATGTGAAGACTGAGATCTGTATCTGGAGGAACAAATCCTGGGATAATGTGAAGACTGAGATCTGTATCTGGGGGAACAGATCATGGGATAATATGAAGACTGAGATCTGTATCTGGGGGAAAAGATCCTAGGATAATGTGAAGACTGAGAATCTGTATCTGGGGGAAAAGATCCAGGGATAATGTGAAGACTGGGATCGTTGTCAAGTCATTCACGAAGTGTGGAATTTTAAATACCACAGATGGAAGTGAGGATGAGGCATTATGTGACAAACATAATTCATCATCAGACACATATGAGGACAAGCTAAAGATCTATCACGTGGATGAGAGTTTTGACAGTGATGAGGAGTTTTCTGGATTCTATGATGAATAAAACATGCGTTCAATAACTGTACGTAATCATTTTATGTTTCCAAATTTCCAGCCCAAAGATCAAGGTGCATCTTACACACTGTCTTATTCTTGGGGAAATACAGTTGGTGTCCACACACATACTTTCCAACGTAAAGAAAATATGATAATAGTGTAACCATAAATGCTCTTGAATAGAGCCCACAGAGATCCTTAAACTTAACAACAAGAACATTGTCAGCTGATAAAACTGTCAAAGACAACAATGTCAGGTACAAAACAGTAATAATATCAACATTAAAGCAAATTACGCTGATAGTAGAGAGACATCTGTCGTGTTATCTTTCCCAACACAAACCTCCTTCCCAACAGGACTGCAGGATACACATAAGGTAATACTGGCTCTAATTATATCTTCCTTGGAGGCTGAACGGGGAATCTGGGATTTGCTTTGCTGGTCTGTCATCCTGGATCCAGAGGTGGTCAAGACTGTAGGTAGCAGAGCCCAGATATTGGGGGTGAGGGGAGGGGGGGGGGGAACAACTAACAATAACCTGTTAGATCAAACAAACTAGATAATTATAGTATCATATAGAAATGCCTAATATGGCTTTCATGATGCCGTTGACAACATCCAGGCTCTCGTCTTCAATGATTACAACATCAAACTTCTCAAGGTACGTCGGCAGGTTATCCTCTACCTGCAAAATGAGAAAAAATAATTAATTGTTTAAGAAATGAAAAAGTTGAAATAAGGAATACCCTGTTTTAAAATCTGAACAAAAGCAAGTTTAGGCATCAGGGCTAAAGACCAAAAAGGATATATCCCTAGTGTTCTTCTTGATTTCCCTAGTCTTGTTGTGGTTTTCAGTGCCAGGTTTTGAACAGTCATTTGGTGGGAGCCATGGTGTATGCTATACAGATGCATGTATTGTATGGACAACCTCTAGTTCTGCCTGTGTCCAAGTGACAGGGCTCTCTGTGGTAGCCTTGAGTGAGGTCTGAACCACACTGTCTAATGATGTTGTTTATCTAGTTTTATACAAGCTGAACCTGTGTCCAAGTGACAGGGCTCTCTGTGGTAGTTTTGAGTGAGGTCTGAACCACACTGTCTAATGATGTTGTTTATCTAGTTTTATACATGCTGAACCTGGGTCCAAGTGACAGGGCTCTCTGTGGTAGCCTTGAGTGAGGTCTGAACCACACTGTCTAATGATGTTGTTTATCTAGTTTTATACAAGCTGAACCTGGGTCCAAGTGACAAGGCTCTCTGTGGTAGCCTTGAGTGAGGTCTGAACCACACTGTCTAATGATGTTGTTTATCTAGTTTTATACAAGCTGAACCTGTGTCCAAGTGACAGGGCTCTCTGTGGTAGTTTTGAGTGAGGTCTGAACCACACTGTCTAATGATGTCGTTTATTTAGTTTTATACAAGCTGAACCTGGGTCCGAAGATAGTGGTCGGAGCCTCTAAAACAGTCCGCTGATAAATTCCTCTTTTATATTTGGTCTGGGATATGCAGGTGTACAAGGAAATGAGCAGGCTGATTGGCTTGCAGTTTAAGGCTACTATGGACAGTGGATGAGCCAAGGACAAGGCTGATATACTGAATGCTCTACAAGAAGTCAGACATTTGCAAGAACCAGTGTGTCGCAAACCGTGACCAGACTATATGAATAGCATGTTAAAAAGGGGTGTGGCCAGACAGAGCACTATGCAGGAACGAACAAACAAACACATTTTCTTTCCTCAAAGAGTTACAAATAACACAGGCCTGTCTTACATTCAGCCCTTTCAAACACACATCTTTCACACAGCAGTTGTATTCTATTAATAAAACATGTTTTGTTAAAATAATAATATGCAAACAAAAGCATGGGTTGTAAAATGCATGCACACACTCACGTATGCACACACACACGCCCACCCACTCATTTACACACACAACTACATACATGCATACACACTCATATATATATATACACACATACATAAGGCATGCATACAGACACACACAGGCACACACATAGGAAGAAAAAGAAGAATGAAAAATCAACACCTAGAACTGTCTCAGCTGGTACACAGCGAGATCCACTGAGGAGGGGATCCAAGCACTTATGGGCCGAATGGTTCGACGTGCAATGAGCATAATCTGTCGACTAATTAACTGCTAAACACTCACCTTAAAGTTGAGAAAACCTATTTTTAATTCACATTCAACATGATCAGCACCCTCCGACATGCCGAGGTCACCGACTGAATCACCCAGGAGCAGCAGGTTTTCTCGATGCCGGATGTTATAAAAATAGTCGCCGGAATGGATGGTGTTTTCATTTTTGTTGAAAGTGTGGATAATTTCATCACCCTCAAATCCAATCACTTTTCCCTGTAGACAGGATTGATCAATATATTGAAATGTTTTGTTTGCTTTATAATCTGGCAACTTTTTGGTTCGCTACAGCAAAGGTCAAGGCAAACTGGCAGAAGATACTGCAATGAAGGAAGTGCTCAGGCTTCACAAATACTAGGCTATTGCATAATCAGGTAGGAACTGAGATTCGGGGCCCCATATAAGAGTGTGGGGGGGGCGGGGGAGAAGGACTAGACCCACAGCTGACATCACAACCATATTGTGAAAGACAACTAATTAGGGTCTGAGAATTGGATGTGTTGGGCCGAGAGGCACAGATATCGCAGCCTAGCTGCAAACAACAACAACATGTGCCAACTTTCCTTTCAAGGATAAACGCAGAAGACAAAATCCTTAAAACCATAACAAGAACTGCCATTATATGGGTCCCTGATGAGTTTTGACACCATCATGAGATAGACCCTAAAAAAAATACCCTGATATCATCATGACAAGGACCCCAGAAAAAACCCTGACATCATCATGACATGGATCCCAAGAAAAGACCCCAACATCATCATGACATGGACCTCAGAAAAGACCCTGACATCATCATGACATGGACCCCAGAAAAGACCCCAACATCATCATGACATGGACCCCAGAAAAGACCCTGACATCATCATGACATGGACCCCAGAAAAGACCCTGACATCATCATGACATGGACCCCAGAAAAGACCCTGACATCATCATGACATGGACCCCAGAAAAGACCCTGACATCATCATGACATGGACCCCAGAAAAGACCCTGACATCATTATGACATGGACCCCAGAAAAGACCCCGACATCATCATGACATGGATCCCAGAAAAGACCCTGACATCATTATGACATGGACCCCAGAAAAGACCCTGACATCATTATGACATGGACCCCAGAAAAGACCCTGACATAATTATGACAAGAACCCCCAAAAAGACCCAGACTTTAGCATGGCATGGATCTGAGAAGAAAAACAGGAAAGAAACAAGAAGCTGACCAAGAACAATGTGGCCAATAAATCAGAGCTCGTACAGTCACCACTGAATGTGCAGGGTAGGATTTTGTATTTGTTCCCGACAGGAAAATAAAATCCCTTAGCTTACCAAGGATTCGAACCTGAATTAAATCCCATTCTCTGCCGCTCAGCCAGCCACCTCTCACAATATGCCAAATATGCTGACAGCAAAGTTGAAGGAGTTGTATGATGCCCTAAAAGATACAGATTATCACTCACACTATGCTCATTTATCAATAACAAAATGTTGAATGTTAAATTGAGAATAAAAATCACAGCACTAACTCCCATAAGCGCTCTGTCCCCATCTTCAGCAGCAAGCAAAGAGTTTCAATGGTACAGTAACTGTCTGATGTTACATCCATCTCGCCTTTCTCTTGAGTGTTGAGCGTTGACCAGATCTCCTGGTAACTCCCACAGCTCCATTTACCGTAATGATCTCTATCTGTGCCTCTGCCGTGTTCACTCGCTCCCAAAGGGCCATCACAACATCTAGCTTGTCGCACATCAATTCCCCACCAGGTGGCGCACAAGCAGCCAGTCTGATCATTAGCAACTAGAAACAGGATGGGAAACAACAGAACTACAACCAACCTGTTCATCAAACTTGAGAAAATTGGAAACAATCTTCATGTTTCTGTGGAAGGTGGCTTGTTGCAGAATTGTTTCATGAATGATGTCTCCAATTCCAGCTGAGAAAATCAGGATTGGGATGTCTAGTTCATGAAGCTGGTCAAAGAACCACTTGCAACCATTCCTGGTGATAAACAAATAAATACAATGGATTCTTATCTATCAAGTCAAGGAGTCTCTCCATGGTGAGGTGGTCAAACCCTTTGCTTCACATTCTGAAGATCACTGGGTTCATGTTATCCTGTTGGGTTCACATCTGCAATATTTTCAGATATTTCCGATGATGGTCAATGGAGGTGACGAATTTGTGTTTTGTGTGGCGATTTTAGCCAGTTGCTCTGCAGGAAGAACAAGCCATACTAAGGAAACAGTGCAATCAATCTGAATCTCTCATATCTAAACAATTTTAAAGGTGACTTATTTTACTTTACTCAAGTTGCTCTTCTACCATGGGGTGCAGAGGTTTGCTAGAGCGATCACCAAATTTCTCTATCAGCAGTTTTCTTTCTGGCTTTGTTTCATTCCAGTCCTCTGTCCATCAGGGACTGCCGGATGTTGTCTTCCCAGCGGACCCTGGGTCGCCCTAGAGGTCTGGTTCCCTGGTTCTTAGCCTCCCATCCTGGATGATTTTCTCCCATTCTGCATACATGTTCAAACCATCTAACTGTGACTGACCCACTTGGGTTTGTAAGGCTGGGTTTGAAGATCCTGACATATTTGTCTGTGTGCCTGAAGCTGGCTTCTGTGAACTGCTGTCATCCCCCATGACTCATTCCTATAGGTCAGGACTAGCACATAGGTAGAGCAGTAAACAGCCATTTTCGTCCTCTTGACAATTTCTCTTTTGCTAAGAAACCCTCGCTTTATGACCTGGAAGAGTCTCCTAGCAGCTGCTTTTTGAATAGCCAGCTCTGTCCCAATGCTTCCATTTCGGCCTTATACAACTCCAAGGTATTTGAACTGGCTGACCTGTTCCACTGCATACTGTCCCATCATGATCTGGTGTTTCTTCTCCTCTCTTGAGATCACCATGGTTTTAGTTTTGGATATACTGATGGTCATCCCTCTCTTCTCAAGCTCTTCCTTCCATACAAGTTGGACTGAAGGTGTGCCTCTGATTTAGCTATCAGGGCCACATCGTCTGCAAATGCCAGCTCTGTTATACAGATTGGTATCATCTTCCAGTACCCTACAGAGTACTTCTTTGTCTTCTCCTTACAGGTCTTGATGACATCATCCATCATAAGAATGAAGAGGTAAGGTGAGAGAACATCACCTTGTCTAACACCGCTGGTGGTCTTGAATTCTTCTGACTTTAGGTCTGCTGTTCTTACATAATTTCTGATCAGGGTGCTAGGATGTTTTTCCCTGCCAAGCAGTCCCAAAGCTTGCTCCAGGGGACCTTATAAAATGCCTTTTCTATATAAAAAAAAACATAGGTGCATCTCACTCTTATATTCAAGGGCTTCTTCACTTATCTGCCCAAGTGTGAAGATGTCTTAAGTACTTCAGTTTGCTCTGAAGCCACATTGGGCCTGATCCAGCTGTGGCTTTGCCAGACTTCTAAGTCTCTGCTCGAGAATTCTACAGTAACTTTTACCAGGAATGCTGAAGAGGGATATGCCTCTGTGGTTTTCACATTGTCTGCTATCACACTTTTTAATTGTAGGTATAATGATGCCATTATCCCAATCTTTTGGTATAGTTTTACCACACCAGGCTGCCTGGAGAACCTTCAAGAGAAATTGCTCACCTGGGAATCCCATACCTTTGACCATCTCTGGTGTTATACCATCATGGGAATCCCATACCTTTGACCATCTCTGGTGTTATACCATCATGGGAATCTCATACCTTTGACCATCTCTGGTGTTATACCATCATGGGAATCCCATACCTTTGACCATCTCTGGTGTTATACCATCATGGGAATCCCATACCTTTGACCATCTCTGGTGTTATACCACCATGTCCTGCTGCTTTCCTCAGCTTAATCTTCTCAATAGTTGCCCTCAATTCTTTCATTCTTAGTAGCTGCCTGAAGCTCTTCCATCCTGATGTTATCTTCCCCATGATTGATTTCCTTCTCTGCAGTGAGGTCCCATATTTCTAGGTCATTACTTTCCTCATCAAGGAGCTCTGAGAAGTATTCTTTCCATCTGCCCATGATATCATCTGTAGAAGTAAGCAGAGCTCCTTCCTTGTCATTTATAAATTTCAGTGGGCACTCTTTCTCCTTCCTCATGTTCTTGAGGGTCTTGTAGAACATTTTTTGATTTTCTCTTGTAATCTTTTCCAACTTTTCTCAAATTCTTCCTGTTTTCTGTTTTGCATTAAGCACTATATTGTTGCTTCTGTCTTCAGTGTCCTCTGACGGTTCTTCTTCAGTTCCTATTGCTTTCACTATAAGCTCCTAGTATCTAGCCTTAACCTCTGGCTCTCCTAGCTTGTATACCTTAATCCTCATCCCTTCTCGGTTGCTTGGTTTCTTTCATGGTTGTCGGTGTTTCTGTGTTGAAGCAGTTCTTTCAAGTGTTCTCTTTATTGTGATCAGATAGTGGTCACTTCCATCTCGGGTCCTCTCATATCTCTCACAAACTTGAATGAACGTTTCCTAATTATGGCGTAGTCAATGATAGATTTCTCAGTCTTTGAATGTTCACATCTTGTGTATGCATGTATGCGTTTTGGGGGGAATTTTGAAGGTTCATATCTTGTGTATGCATGTATGCGTTTGTGGGGGAGTTTTGTGTTTGTAATGAAAAGGATGAAAAGGATCCCTGTAGAATCTGAGAAGTCGTTTGGCATTATCATTCAAAACATCTTCACCATATCTTCCGATCACTTCACCCCATCTAGAGTAATCATTTCCTACTCTGGCTTTTAGATCTCCTAGAAGGATAATATCATCCTGACAATATCTATCTTGCTTTGGAGCAATTAAAAGAATTCTTCTTTGACAACTACTCGCTCATCTTCACTTGGCCTGTGCACAATGACAATATTGACAATTTTATCTTCTTCTTTCAGATCTAATACCAAAATTTGCTCCGAGATGAATTTCCATCCCTGGATTTTACTAACTTGATTCCTGGCCACAATACAGCCAACACCTCCCTTGGCTCGCCCCATCATAGAGACACCACTGTAGAGCAGCATACTTCCACTGTGATCTGTGATTCCCTGCCCCTTTTTCTTGGTTTCAGTCAGAGCCAAGATTCTTCATTTTGCTTTTCTCATATTCCCTACTAGCTCGCTTTCTATCCCGTTAACGCCGCATATGTTCCATGTTCCATAAATTGTAGTCCGTAAGCCATGCCAGTTCACTGCCACTAAGATCCATCTGGTTTTCTCTACGTTGTAACTTTTAAAGGTGACACAGTGAGTTATTAGTTTAGCCCACTTAAGTCACCGCAACCCAAATAAAGAAAGTCATGAAAAATGAGCTAACAACATTCTTAGCCCTGGTGCCCTGAGAAGACTTTAATCAAGACACTTCCGGATGTGTTAATCTTGTAAATGCCGATATATCAGCCTGTCTGAAGTGATCTGATTTTAAAAAAAAATCTAGTTAAATTCCATAGGTTCTGTGTGTGCCTGCGCAGTGTTGAACTCTTTCAGTCCCCAAACAGTTGTCTTAAGTGAAACTTGACTGTAAAATAACACAAATCACCTGTGTGGTTACTGAACTTTGACAGCAAAAAAACAAAACCAAAAATCCACCTATGTGGATACTGAAAATGACTGTAAAAGGAAACAATCCACATGTATGGATACCACAGTTTTATAAATCCATCCATGCAGTACCACAGTAAAGGGACTTTATCCAACCAATGTGCTTTTCATGATGAATGGGAGAGAAGATGAAATTTACCTAGCCAACACTTTTGGTCATTAAGGTTTTGAGGCTTTGAACAACGGATCAACATCATGGAACACGGGTGTAACTCAAAAGTGCTCCGTTTTTCTTCTAATTTAAGTCTGAGTCCAAAGAAGCTTAGCACAATGCACAGGCTCTGTAGCACCAGCGAGGATCCTGAAATACTTTTGGTAGATTTTTAACTCTAAATTTTGCCTGGGCAGCGCCATTAGGCTACTCTTTTTGATTTCCAACTACCAAAGATTTTTTAAAGAGCGTAACAATGCACACCGGCATCCGATCTCACTACCCAGAGACCAGGGGGAATTCCTAGAAGTCCAAGTCCACGTGATAAAATCCCAGCCCTTACCGAGGACTGAACCCGGAACCTCTAGCACTCGAGGTGAACACCATGACTCGAGACCACGCAGCTCACTTTTGGTCAATAAAATGTAAAAAGCGTGATCAGTTCCCTATCTCACCTTCTCTTCCTATAACTCTTGAAAAATCTCAACATTTTTGGGGAAGAATCTAACTTGGTTTTCGACCCCACTTATAACCGCTGTGAAACTTACCTCAAACGAGCGAATGAGTCAGCAACAATGTGTCGGATGGTGTCCTGGGTCAGATGGCAGGAGGTGACCAACTCATGACCTTTGGTCCACCTACGAAAGGCAACAAAATGCATGTCACAGACGCTAGCCTAATTATTGTGTCATTGTAAACACATTCTAGGCACAGAGATTAGTTCTGCCTGTTGTTACACATGAAACCTATGGCTCCCAGGATGATGAACCAGGTTAAACTGACTGACGTTGATATGGACTATTTCTTTCTTTCAAAAGCTAGTTTCATTCCCCTGAACTATTGCCTTTGATTGTTTTTGATTCCTATTCTTCTGTGCATCCAGCAATTTGAAAACTTGTAATAATCTATTAAACTAACATGCCAAACCCCCCCCCCCCCCCCCCCCTCAAGTTTAACTACGCATAAAATATTCTTTAAAACTCATTTTAAAACAAAAGGTCAAGTTTTTGCTTTCAAGACAAAAATACAAAACAGTGTCAACCATCACACTGATATGTGGAGTAATTCGGGCACTAACCAGGCTCTAACTAAGAGAGCTTGGGATTTTTCTTTCCGTCTTTTTTTCTTCTTCTTTTGTTGCCTGACTAATACCAGGTTGTAGCCAAGTGTCACGGTTTTCTATACTTGTTTTAGGCTTCTCGGGTGGTTTGGGTGACAGTTTTGTTCATCTTTTTGTAGGTTTCTGCTGCACCATTTATCCAACTCTTTCTTGGTCTGCCTCTAAACCTCCTTCCAGATGTTCTGCTGTAAAAAGACTCACATGCAGTTTTGCCTGGCTGCATTTTCACTAGATGGCTGAACTTCATTTTAATCAAATTTTTTTTTTTTAAATATGATGGAGGAAGCCTGTGGCGGGTCTGGCCATATGTAGGCGGAGGGCATCTAAAAAATGGTTGAAAACGATTCATCTATAACATGAAAAACAAAAAGCTGGCATCTATGGCGGTAATTTTGGTCCCGAGACTTCCCCCCCACATTGGTACCTAAGTATCCCCTCACAGCTTTCCTTCCCCTCTCCCAGATCTTCGGCTTCTTCTTCTGTTCATCTTAAAAGGGCAGATGTGTTGAGGTTTACAGCTAGGCAGTGATATTTAAAAAAAAAACCATCTGATTCAAGAAAATCTCTAATGAGTTACATTTTTACTTTTTTTCATGAACCCATACAAGGATCTCCAAGCCCCCAAATGAGTGGGGTGTAATACACCTGCAGACAGGAATGTCAGGATACTCGCTGGCCATAAAAAGAACAGATTCAAAGCATAGCGAAGACTGAGATTTGGAGTAAGACATCCCCGTCTGTGTCATCTAACAAGGCATATGATGATTATTTATTATTCAGCATACCACACATAGAGCAGCAGCTGGCCTCTCATGTGGGAGACCCACGTTTGATCCCCAGTAAGGGACTGAGATATTTCTATGGAGAGCACACTCACAAACCCTAGCCAGCACAGTTTATGACTGAAGTCTGGCCTCACAGACTGAACTCCTCAGGCATTTGTTTGTTTTTTAAAGATATGGACTCTCCTCCATGGGTTTCAGATATGTTATTGCCAACAGACTCTAAACTAACACCTAGGGAAAGGACAGGCAGACAAATAGGTAGAATAGGAATGTAGATAATATGTATACTGACAGTGGGTATGACATAGAGATAGATCCATAGTTAACAACTGCCCATTAATATTTGTCAATGTAGTTTCCTTATGCATCATTATTGTAAGCTGAACTGAACACAGTTAAGACAGTCATGAAAAGTCAACATCTCACAATCATGAATGAAGAATGGGAAATAAATATCAAGAGAATCAGCACTGAAAAGGTGTAAGCAATGTCAACAGGAAGAAAGAAGCAGAACTTAAATATAGTAGTAGAGTGCAAAAGATATTAAATGTGGCATCTCGGAACAGTATCCACCAAAGACAGATGAATAAATTATTATCTGATGCAGTAAAGCAAAACAGGTATTGGAACAGCTAGCCCCCTCCCCCCTTACAGCATAAGATACTCCCAGTCAGCACACAGAAACGAGGACTGTGACACCGACTCCCTACTGAGAGGACGTGTTTTTTTCGAGCTCTCACTTTTTGGATTTATTATTCAGTTTGTCTTAGTGAAAGAAATAATATTTTTATATCACTGTGACCGTTATCCTGTCAGTTGTGCCGTGAAATATTCTGTAGTGCTTTACTTATCAACACGCGATAAAAATGTTAGATTCTTTAAGTAGAGAGTTTTAACAAGCATTCACACACTGTATGGAAACAACAGGTATAGCGTTCAAAAGGGCGTGTCTCTTCACTGAAATGTATCACTGACACCCGATACGCGTTGGCTATCCTCCAAACGATAAAACTGGACCACGGAACAAGCTGAGACAGAAAGGCACATTCCACGGTAGAATAAAAATGGGACATTTCAGTCGCATTATTTTCCATCCAGCAGCAAACACAGTGACAGAATTTTTCACACCCCTTCTGCCTGCTCCGTGGAGAAAAATGTGCTGACCCCGTTAACTCTTTTTGACCCAGGCGGGTCCGGCAGTAAAATATCAAATATATAACGTGTGTTAACATACCTGTGAGGACCCATTTTACTCAATAAATGAAGGGAGATCAACATCTTCACATCGAGTCTAGAGAAATTAGCGAACACGTTTAAATTCCCCCCCCCCCTTTCATAATGAAGGAGCCAACAGGATATTATCCACGGAGCCCTGGGCGTACCCGACTGAGAACACCCCAGTCTCTCGGCTTCCATTTCACTTGCTACATTCACTTCACACGGCCGCACCCAGCGACAATCATCTATGGACAATTAACAGCGGAATTTTGAAGGGGGCACAAAGTCGTCAACATCACAGAAAGCCAGTAACAAGGTTACCATGTGTAACTTGAAACTGGTCGAAAGACATTCTACTAGGCCATCAGATGAACGGGTTTTTTTTTCTGGACCCCCTAGGAGCCGGACACAGAACAGTCTCTAGGATAGGAGACTAGCTAAAGTGCATTCAACTTCATCGAATCAACGCCGTTCGGATTTTCACCTTTATTTTTCGGCAACAGACAATATCTGTGTCGGGCCCTCAAGGAAAAACACTTGACAGTTTTGATGCCCTGCCCCACACCAACTACCTGGATTACAGTATAGAAGCATTGTTGAACATTTTCCCTCCTGGAGGAATTAGTCATTTAGTGATCTCTCTCTCTCTCTCTCTCTCTCTCTCTCCTCCTCCTCCCCCTCTTTATCCCTCTATATTCTTGTATGTGTACATGTGCCTCTTTCTCCCTCTCTACTTTGATGTGGGAGTACCTGTAAACTGTTAATTACTGTTATTTCTTGTCACAATTATTATTGGTATGTGCAAGTGTTAGTAAGCATGTATACATAAAAATAGTTTTTTTTTTTTTTTTTTTTTTTTTTTTTTTTTTTTAAATTTAAATGTATGCTGTAACATATGCACGGGCTAATGTTATATGACAGAAAAATGACAAATTTTGTACACCAATAACACACAGGTGTCAGGATGTAGGGAGTCGGTAGTCCAGAACCCATGTAGGGAGTCGGTAGTCCAGAACCCAAGTTTAAGGCGTTTCCTTCGTGCCAATAAACTGCATGGCTGTCGGGGAGCACAGTCGTTAACGAAGGCAGTCATGATGTACAGGAGCGACATCTGGCTGATGGATGTTGCGTCCCTAGTTCCTTCCCCAGCACGAGGCTCTACTGGGGTGACAGTTATTAAGCCCTCACTTTTGTATTAATTAAACCCTGGGCAGATGAAGCTCAAAAGCCCTGAAAGGCAATTCATCTACGTGAAGGACACACCGAATGCCAAACCACCACTGCCTTGTGGGAAGTTCCTGTAAGAACAAAGGCTAGGGCAACAAAGCCCGACAGAAAATGTGGGTAGGCAGAACTCATAAGCCCTGGAAGGCAATCAGCCTATGGGAGGGGGAATCCTGAAAAAAACCTCAACCGTCGAAGTCGGAAGATGTCAGCCTACTTGGCACGGGACTAAAAATCGGGCATCTACGCACTAGCGATATGGTCATGCAAACAAAATTATCACGTTATGGTGTCATTCCTATGGGACGTGGACGGGTAGGGATGGCGCCGGGCCCTCAGCCTCGAGGGGGCCCACCCCAAGCTACTAGAGCCACAACCTCTGAATCTTCTGGAGTGACCAGGGAAGAACAGAGTAATGCAACTGGACACAAACTGACAATTATGCACTGGAATGCTGAAGGAGTGAGGCTGAAGAAAACTGAACTACACAATTTCTTGAAGCAGCACGATATCGACATATGCTGCATCCAAGAGACTCACCTCACAAGTGCACACAGATTCTCTATCAGGGGATACCAAATCTTCCGACACGACAGGTTAGATCGTCCAAAAGGAGGAGTCTTGACTGCTGTCAAGAACACAATCACAGCTTGGGAAACCCAGAGATCTCAGTGTGGGGATACAGAGTTTATCACAGTCACTATTAAGGGTGCAAGGGAAGATGTGACAGTATGCAACATCTACTCACCACCAAACAGAGATATTAATCTGGGACCCATCCTACTAAACACAGAAAACTGGATTGCTGTCGGAGATCTAAATAGCCACTCACATAGCTGGGGCTACACAGACCTCAATGCGAAAGGAGAAGAGGTAGAAAACTGGATAATCAGCAACACTCTAGTTCTGATAAATCATCGTGACGACCCAGACACATTCTACTCTCGAGCTTGGAGGAAAACCAGCACTCCAGACTTGGCTATAGCAACTGAAGATGTGGAGAAAGTTACCAGCCGGGATGTATGTCAACAGCTGGGAGGCAGTGACCACAGGCCCGTAATCCTTTCTATTAACAAAAGTAGAGAAGTTACTAAGGAAAAGAACCCTCCCAGCTGGAACTACAAGAAGGCTAACTGGAGCCTTTTCACTTCCTATTTGGACGACATGTTAAGGAGAGTCTTCTTCAGAAGACTGGAAATAAATGCCAAACTGAAGATCCTCAACACAACTATTCTAAATGCAGCCAAGGGTAACATACCACGAGGCAGCAGGAAAAACTTTAAACCTTACTGGTCGCCTGAACTGGACACTCTGCATTCCAAACTTAGTACCAGGAAGGAAAATATGGAGAAGGATCCGACAGATAAAAATGTAATACTTCATAACAGAGCAAAAGCAGCCTTCGTCAGAGAGAGAAATAATCAGATGAGGGAAAGCTGGCACAAAAAGACAGCGTCATTTAACCTCGAGAAGGACACTTCACGTCTGTGGAATCTCACAAAAAGCTTGAATGGAGACAAGACGGAAAAAGCCAGAGTTGTACTCCAAACAGACGATGGATCGTTTACTGGCAAGGTAGCAGCAGATGTGCTAGCCGAAACACACCAGAAGGAAACTGAGGTTCATATTCCCATGCAAAGAATAAAAGAAGTACGAAACCAGACCAAGACTCTTCTAGCAGACTTTAGCACAAAAACAAAAGAGGCCTGCATGTCAGAAAGGTTTACCATGCAAGAGCTGGAAGTTGGAATTGGAGAGTTGAAAATGAAGAAAGCCCCAGGGGCTGACGGCATTACAAACGAATTTCTCTCTCATCTTGGACCTGCTGCCAAGAAGTTTCTCCTCTGCATCTACAACCAGAGCTGGCAAAAAGGGGTAGTACCGTCAGCCTGGAAGGAAGCCCTCATCCAGCCTATCCTTAAAAAGGGTGGAGACAGAAGAGACCCAAAAAGCTACAGACCTATTAGCCTTCTTAGTTGTGTAGGAAAATTGATGGAGAAATTAGTAAATAAAAGACTAATATGGTTCCTGGAGACAAACTCAGTAATCACCACCACCCAGACAGGATACAGACAGCACAGAAATACAGAGGACCAGTTGACATATCTGACACAGGAAATTGAGAATGCCTTCCAGGAAAAAAAGAAAGTTCTTGCTGTCTTTTTTGACCTCTCTCGTGCTTTTGATACAGTTTGGAAAGAAGGCCTACAACTAAAACTGCTACAGGCAGGAGTTGTGCACAACATGTACAAGTGGATCAAAGACTTTCTTTTCCAACGCAGAGCCAGATTCAGAATTGATGGACACATTGGCAAACTGGCAAAACTTAGAGAAGGAGTTCCCCAGGGCAGTGCTATATCACCAACTCTGTTCCTGGTTTACATTAATGATATCACAGCAACCTGCCACCAGCACGTTTTTAATACCCTACATGCCGATGACTTTGCAGTTTGGACAGCCTCCGAATACACTACCACAGCCTCATATCTGTTACAAAAAACTGTGGAAAATGTAGAAGCCTGGACCGAAAAGTGGGGTCTAAAGCTAAATAAATCAAAAAGCACAGCATCACTTTTCTCTCTCTCCCCAAAAAAAAGAAAAAATCGAAATTTGGATTAAAAACCAGCTCATTCCACAGACTGACACTCCTACCTTCCTGGGCGTTACACTTGATTCGCGACTAACTTGGAAGTCACATGTAGAAGCAGTGCAGGGAAAAGCATTCAAGAAGCTTGCAGTTATGAAAAAATTAGCGGGTACCACATGGGGCGCTAACTCTAGAATCCTAAAACAAGTATATACTGGAGCAGTCAGGCCAGTCATGGAATATGCCTCCACTGCATGGGCTGCAGCAGCCAAGACAACAATGGGAAAACTGGACAAGGTTCAGAATATGGGATTAAGGATTGTTCTCGGAGCCATGAAAACCACCCCCATCAGAGAAATAGAAAAGATAGCAGATACTGAACCACTCGAACTCAGAAGACAATACAAAACTCTTTTACAGTATGAGAAATTAAAAAGACTTCAAAGTCACCCACTGCATTTTAAATTTCAAGAGAGAACAAAAAACAGACTGAAGCGTCAGAGCCCCAACCACCTAGCTAGAGAACTGTATAGACAGCACCAAGATCTGCTTGAAAGAGATGTTGCACTGTGCGAAAAACTTAGGCCAGAACCATGGACAAGCAAGCCAGAGAAAGCAAATGTAGTCCTAAAGGTACCAGGAATCACTTCAAAAGATGCCCAGACGGAGACACAACAGAGAACCCTGGCTCTTGCTATGCTTGATGAGAAGTATCCAAACACCACTTGGACTCAGGTTTTCACCGACGGCTCTGCTACAGATGCAGTCAGAAAGGGGGGTTGTGGAATCTACATTAAACCCCCTAGCAGTAGAGCAGAAACTCTCTCTCTACCAGCAGGTGACATCTGCACTAACTTCAGAGCTGAGGCAACTGCTCTCCTCTCTGCAGTCCAACATCTCATCACTCAAGAACACAGAGGGCACCAAATTGTTATACTTAGCGACTCATTGTCTGTTCTCCAAGCACTATCCAGCAAAAAAACAAGACAAAATAATTGCTGATCTAAGAACCAACATTGGCTTACTCTCCAAGGAAGCAGAACTGGTCTTGCAGTGGATACCAGCCCACTGTGGTATTCAAGGAAATGAGAGAGCAGATGAGCTGGCAAAAGCTGGGAGTAATCTTCCACAACCTCATCCACCACACAGCTACAAGGAAACCAAAACAGCGCTAAAGCAGTCATTCAAGCGGGAGTGGAGAAGGCAGAATGGAGATTACAGACCAGAGAGTGACAGCATAAACAAACTCAACAGGAAAGAACAAACATCAATTCTTAGACTTCGGACTGGACACTGTGGTCTTCGAGCACACTTGTACAGGATAGGCATAAAAGAATCTGCTGCCTGTGATTGTGGAGCAGAAAGACAAACCCCTGAACACATACTGCAGTACTGCCCTTACCTCTCCCAGCAAAGACTGTGGATCTGGCCCAAAGGAGCCACATTGCAAGAGAAGCTATGGGGGACCGGTGGCGACCTTAAACGCACAATCCTATTTGTGACCCAGACGGGACTCAATGTTTAGCATGACTGATATCGAACGCAGAAGAAGAAGCACACAGAAACATCTTGTTATTCAAAATATATTCTTTCCCACTACATGCTACGAGTGCCAGACATGGTCACTAACAACTAATCAGAAGAGGTAAAATCAAGAATGAGGTCAAAGTAGAAAAAGTCGGCACAGAACCAGTTCTAAACTAGATACACAGACAGCAAATAAAATGGTTTGCCCATTTAAAGAGATGCCTTCCGAAGACATAGCATACAAAGCATACACCATAAGAGAGGGATGCAGAGCAAGGGGTAGTCCAAGAACAATATGGGAAGATAGCATCAGAGAAACTATAACAGCATGACATGTCTATGGTTGTAGCAGTCGGAAGATTACAAACCAGAACCTTATATCACCCTTCACACCCAATGAGATACAAGAAGAAGTGAAAAGGAAGAAGAAGAAGCAGAAGAGAGCAAGGAAGAAACACACATGTAAACCAAAAACTTACCATTCAATCATCTTTGGTATTTTTTCTTCAACTGTTTTTGTGTGGTCAAATTCAATGGGCAAGTAAGTTTCCTTAAGTTTCCGAGCCTGGACAAAACATACCCAAAACAAATAAGCATGAAATACATGAATGAAAATGACACAAGACATATTTAAATCCAGAGAAATCACGATGAAGTGCCAGCATCATAATGAAAGTTAGCAACAGTTCATCAACAGATCCTTCACAATCAATCAGATGCTGTCTCCACTGCAATGGATCTCCAACATGCTCTGTCTATTTACTCTGTATACTCTCAAACTGTTGTTCATCAATATCTTCATGTTGTCCTCCCACTTGTATCATTGTCTATATTTTACTCTCTCCCCATGTGAGCTGAGTGATCTCGAGGTAAGACTACCTACCTCAAGTGCTGGAGTCCCGGTTTCATACCCCGATGAAGGCTGGGATTTTTTTAACGTGGACTTCTAGTAATTTCCCCTGGTCTCTGGGTAGAAAGACCAGATGCCTGTGTGTATTGTTGCTCACGTAAAAAAAAATCCCTAGGTAGTTGGAAATCTATACTATAAGAGTAGCCTAACGGCGCTGTCCAGGCAAAATCTGGAGTTAAAAATCTACCCAAAGTATTTCAGGTTCCTCACCGGTGCAACAGAATTCATGCCCTGCGCCGAGATTCTTCAGAGTTAGAAGTAGAACGGAGCACTTATGGGGTACACCCGTGTGCTGTGCCATGATGTTGATCCGTTTAATAAACCAATACTCTCTCCCCTCTGACTTCCCCCTCCAGTAGATCATCCTCCCAGGTCAACAGTATTTCTTATTTATGGAAGACACAAAAAAACCTTTATCTACTAGTTATAATCCTTTCTATTTATGGACCACAAAACCTTTATCCTCTAATCACAACCTTTTTGTTTTATGGATCATAAAAAGGTCTACATACTGGTCACAATATTTCCTATTTATGGACCACAGAAACCTCTGTCTACAGGTCATTATCTTTTCTACTTATGGACCACAAAATCCTCTACCTACTGGTCACAATATTTCCTATTTATGGACCACAAAAACCTCTATCTACTGGTCACAATCTTTCCTATTTATGGACCACAAAAACCTCTATCTACTGGTCACAATCTTTCCTATTTATGGACCACAAAAACCTCTATCTACAAGTCACAATCTTTTCTATTTATGGAACACAAAAACCTCTATCTACTGGTCACAATCTTTCCTATTTATGGACCATAAAAACCTGTCTACAGGCCACAGTCTTCCCTATTTATGGACCAATATTCTCTTATCTTCTGGTCACAATATCCCCTATCACTGAACCACAAATTCTGCATCCACAGGCCACAATCTCCCCTATTTACAGACCAGTATTCTTTATTTATTGGCCACATTCTCACCTATCCATGTCCGATGAATCCACTACAATAAAGAGCAAACAATCCACCGTCTGTGTTATTGTATCAAAAGATTAAATCCCAGTTATCATCCTTCCACTAGAGGCCGCCGTGGTCCAGTGACTAGATGCTCGCCTGAGGATTGGAAAATCGTGGGTTCAGGCCCTGAAAGGAGCCAGACTTTTTTAAAAATAACCTTGGCTCACAGGTCAACCTAGACTTGAGTGGGTACCAGGTACAGTCCTGGCAAGTAGAGCTAGCTGGCGTGACGCTGACCACATTACCCACCAAGGGCCGTATGGTCTATAAAATATAGGTCTAGCCCTATACGCCTAATATGCCTGAAGATGTGGAAAAGGATCCAATTTTTTTTTTATCATCCTCCCATCACTGGTGGTACAAGGGCACAAAAGGTAAATGTAGATTTTCATACTGTCATGAGCCACAGGTAAAAAAAGACCTGAAGATGGGATGAATAAGTAACATGGCTGATAAAAAATGTTAGCAATTGTGAGCAAGATGAAAAAAGGGGAGAAAAAAAAAAACTTACTTCTTCTTTGAAATAGTCTGGCATGTATTGACTTTGTTCAAGCACATCTAGTCAAACAGAAAATAGAAATAAACACTAACAAACTGGAATAAGAGGAATATAAAAACTTTTTTATTTTTAAACAGTTAGTTGTAGATACTTCACAAACCATACCCAGCATTGTAGATACTTAACAAACCATACCCAGCATTGTAGATACTTCACAAACCATACCCAGCATTGTAGATACTTCACAAACCATACCCAGCATTGTAGATACTTCACAAACCATACCCAGCATTGTAGATACTTCTCAAACCATACCCAGCATTGTAGATACTTCACAAACCATACCCAGCATTGTAGATACTTCACAAACCATGCCCAGCATTGTAGATACTTCACAAACCATACCCAGCATTGTAGATACTTTACAAACCATACCCAGCATTGTAGATACTTTACAAACCATACCCAGCATTTATTGGTAGTTTTTGTGTGTTTTTACAAGGCTGTTTACATACAATTGTTTGCCACTGCTCTCTGAATTTGACAATCTACACACTATTGTTGAAATGAATGACTAAGCAGGCCTGGCAGGAAACTAGTTACTTCGCCCCAGTCTCCTTCAGCTACAAAATCAACCACATACAAATCTACACTCCATATGCTTGAGTTTGTAGGGCTTATGTTTCTTTGGGAGGTGAACAGCATAAGAAGATTAAAAAAATAACATGGGAACAAAAAGTAAATATTTATTTAAAATTTCAGATGTCATGAAGGCAGGTGAATGTATACCAGAAGTATAGATGAGTACATAAAAGAACAGGACATTTAGAAAAGTATTACAGGTGAATGTATACCAGAAGTATAGATGAGTACATAAAAGAACAGGACATTTAGAAAAGTATTACAGGTGAATGTATACCAGAAGTATAGATGAGTATATAAAAGTACACATTTAGAAAAGCATTACAGGTGAATGTTTACAAGAAATACAGAGAGGTTTATACAAGAAATACAGGGAGGTTTATACAAGAAATACAGGGAAGTTTTTACAAAAAATACAGGGAGGGTTGTACAAGAAATACAGGGAGGTTTATACAAGAAATACAGGGAGGTTTATTCAAGAAATACAGGGAGGTTTATACAAGAAATACAGGGAGGTTTATACAAGAAATACAGGGAGGTTTTTACAAAAAATACAGGAAGGGTTGTACAAGAAATACAGGGAAGTTTATACAAGAAATACAGGGAAGTTTATGCAAGAAATACAGGGAAGTTTATTCAAGAAATACAGGGAAGTTTATACAAGAAATACAGGAAAGTTTATACAATAAATACAGGGAAGTTTATACAATAAATACAGGGAAGTTTATACAATAAATACAGGGAAGTTTATACAAGAAATACAGAGAAGTTTATGCAAGAAATACAGGGAAGTTTATGCAAGAAATACAGGGAAGTTTATACAAGAAATACAGGGAAGTTTATGCAAGAAATACAGGAAAGTTTATGCAAGAAATACAGGGAAGTTTATGCAATAAATACAGGGAAGTTTATACAATAAATACAGGGAAGTTTATACAAGAAATACAGGGAAGTTTATGCAAGAAATACAGGGAAGTTTATACAAGAAATACAGGGAAGTTTATACAAGAAATACAGGGAAGTTTATACAAGAAATACAGGGAAGTTTATACAAGAAATACAGGGAAGTTTATACAAGAAATACAGGGAAGTTTATGCAAGAAATACATGGAAGTTTATACAAGAAATACAGGGAAGTTTATGCAAGAAATACAGGAAAGTTTATACAAGAAATACAGGGAAGTTTATACAAGAAATACAGAGAAGTTTATACAAGAAATACAGAGAGGTTTGTACAAGAAATACAGGGAAGTTTATACAAGAAATACAGGGAAGTTTATACAAGAAATACAGGAAAGTTTATACAAGAAATACAGGAAAGTGTGTACAAGAAATACAGGGAAGTTTATACAAGAAATACAGAGAAGTTTGTACAAGAAATACAGGGAAGTTTATACAAGAAATACAGAGAAGTTTGTACAAGAAATACAGGGAAGTTTATACAAGAAATACAGGAAAGTTTATACAAGAAATACAGGGAAGTTTATGCAAGAAATACAGAGAGGTTTGTACAAGAAATACAGAGAGGTTTGTACAAGAAATACAGGGAAGTTTATACAAGAAATACAGGGAAGTTTATACAAGAAATACAGGGAAGTTTATACAAGAAATACAGGGAAGTTTATGCAAGAAATACAGGGAAGTTTATTCAAGAAATACAGGGAAGTTTATACAATAAATACAGGGAAGTTTATACAAGAAATACAGGGAAGTTTATACAATAAATACAGGGAAGTTTATACAAGAAATACAGAGAGGTTTGTACAAGAAATACAGGGAAGTTTGTACAAGAAATACAGGGAAGTTTATACAAGAAATACAGGAAAGTTTATACAAGAAATACAGGGAAGTTTATACAAGAAATACAGGAAAGTTTATACAAGAAATACAGGGAAGTTTGTACAAGAAATACAGGGAAGTTTATACAAGAAATACAGAGAAGTTTGTACAAGAAATACAGGGAAGTTTATACAAGAAATACAGAGAAGTTTGTACAAGAAATACAGGGAAGTTTATACAAGAAATACAGAGAAGTTTGTACAAGAAATACAGGAAGTTTATACAAGAAATACAGGAAAGTTTTTACAAGAAATACAGGGAAGTTTGTACAAGAAATACAGGAAAGTTTATACAAGAAATACAGGGAAGTTTGTACAAGAAATACAGGCAAGTTTATACAATAAATACAGGGAAGTTTATGCAAGAAATACAGGGAAGTTTACACAAGAAGTACAGGTGAGGGTAGAAAAGAAACAGAGCATCAAAATATGAAAAACTACACCTCTGCGCCTGCTGGGATCATGACAACATCAATGGAGGCTAAGCTTACAGGCTGACTGCTGTACAAAGCTTCGTGTGTGTCAAAAGTGACGGGTAATCCTACAATTTACTATGAGTGAGGGGAGACTACTGATACTCAAACAACTGAACAAACCATCATGCATTCATCATATTCAATTAGAACTTAACTCAGAAGAAGAAAGAAGACCAAGAGGCAACTAAAATGTTAAAACCATTAGTGAAGAATGAAGCATTTGAAGAAGTAATTAGTTTCAAACTTAAACACTTCTCTGCCCATTGCTCTGTGAGTTGAATACATACAGAAAAGGCTAGCAGTGCAGTAAGTATACAAACTATCATAGGCAAGAGAAAACTTTTCTTGTAATTGCCCTCTTCCTTTACTGAATGAAGCAAGTGACTATACAATGATCAGCTTTCTTTACGTGACCAAAACAACATCCCTTTATTGTTTAGCTCTTTTGCTACATTGAACAGCTCTATCTCTGCTTTGATGTCCCTTACTAGTTAGTTATATGTAGCCATTAACTCTTTTTGACACAGTGTTGGGTCTGGCTGAGAGGTAGCAGTGTTCCCCTCAGATTAAAGCCACTTGGTTTAAATCTCAGCAAAGAGTCATGTATTTACATAAAAACCAGTTATGTCCAATGATACCACATATTCCCCCGATCTGTTGGATGTGGGACAGAATAAGAGCTAACAGAAACAGGTCCTGTATCAATGATGCATGTAAAGCTCCCACAGTGGTTGCAAATCACAAGCAGTAGGCTACAAGGCTGCTGCAAAGGTTTTTTTTAAAAACTTAGGAAAGAAAAAGTACCAACAGGCAGGTGGAGCCAGGAATGTGATCTTCTCCTTCTGAGTTTGGGTTCACCCACAACAAAGCTGTTGTCATGTTGTGTTATGGTTTATAGCTTCCCCTTTTGGTTCTGGGTCTCACTGTGCAGATAGGGGCGTTAGAATTACTGACACCTGAACAAGAATATATCTTCTAGACTCCCTCTAACAAGTGTGTCGTAAAAGGTGACCAACGAGGGGTTTCCACTGAATTAGGAGTGCATCAGCCTGAGGCGAGAAACCAACTATCTGCATACAAATTAGCAGACCTGTAAGACAAATGCGTATCTGTAAAACTCAAGTTCTGAAACCAGACCAAAGTCCATAAGTGGATGAACAACCAGAACTTTCTGCCAGAGTTTACAGCTGATGAATGCTAGAAAGGAGATTTACAACTAGGCTGCAATATCTCTCTGCCTTTTGGCTCAACATATCTGGTTTCAGCAAGCTCCTAACTAGTTGCCTCTTATGATTTGCTTGTCAGGAAGCAGTCGGTCTGTTCTTTCCCTCCCCTCCCCCAAAATGGGGCCCCAGAACCCACAGAGGGAAAATAGAATCTGTTTAGAGGAATTTAATGTGACACTAATAAATGTCAAAGCTGGAAACACTGACCTCATAGCTCTCAAAATGGAATTAAGAAGAAGAAGATTCAAAGAAAAATAAAACTGGTTAGGACAGAAATTATTCAAAAATGACATCACTGCATTGCTGTACTCACTGTGTGTAGTGCAGCAGATAACTCCATTCTCTGAGTATTTAGAGAGTGTACGGTCAAAGTCTGCAACCACCTAAAATCAACGATGAAAAACAGCAACAGATTTAAAGGCAAGACAACTTCTTTTCTTCTTCTTCTTCTTTGCATTCACCAGCTGTACACTCTGGCGGAAAGTTCTGGCTGCTCGTCCACTACTGAACTGCAGTCCTGCTCCAGAACCTGAGTGTTGCGTGTGCATCAGTTTTACAGATCTCATTCTCTTGAATACAGACTGTTGGTTCCTTGCCTCTCCGGCAGATGCACTCCGACTTCAAAGGAAGCTCCCCAATTAGTTGAATCTTCTCCCCTGTGTGGGTTCCGGGGCCCCATTGTGGGGAAAACAAGAATAGACCCACTGTCTCCCCAAAAGCATGTCGTAATACAACACCCAAGTCTTGAAGTTCATTACTACAGATATTCCCTGGCGGCCATTCACCTCTCTGGTTCACCTTTTCTTTCCAGTTGGTGACTTAAGTGTTTGTAGGTCTGTCTGTTTATTATCTCCCTGCTGTCTTCATGGATGGGTGATATCAATATCGTGCTGCTGACATTCACTTCTTGGTAACACTGGTACCTACTTTAGGCTAGGCTGATTTACAAGTCAAGAACCATTGTTTTAGAAACCTCGGCTTCAATGAGGATATGCAACATATGGTCTCTGCAATATTACCCAGGCAATATGGAGAGAGGAAACTTCATCCCTACTGTCTACAATATTGACCAGCCTTGTGCTATATAGAGGAGAAACTTCCTCCCTACTGTCTACAATATTGACCAGCCTTGTGCTATGTAGAGGAGAAACTTCATCCCTACTATCTACAATATTGTCCAGCCTTGTGCTATGTAGAGGAGACACTTCCTCCCTACTCTCTACAATATTGTCCAGCCTTGTGCTATGTAGAGGAGAAACTTCCTCCCTAATCTCTACAATATTGTCCAGCCTTGTGCTATGTAGAGGAGACACTTCCTCCCTACTGTCTACAATATTGACCAGCCTTGTGCTATGTAGAGGAGAAACTTCATCCCTACTATCTACAATATTGTCCAGCCTTGTGCTATGTAGAGGAGAAACTTCCTCCCTACTCTCTACAATATTGTCCAGCCTTGTGCTATGTAGAGGAGACACTTCCTCCCTACTCTCTACAATATTGTCCAGCCTTGTGCTATGTAGAGGAGACACTTCCTCCCTACTGTCTACAATATTGACCAGCCTTGTGCTATGTAGAGGAGAAACTTCATCCCTACTATCTACAATATTGTCCAGCCTTGTGCTATGTAGAGGAGAAACTTCCTCCCTACTGTCTACAATATTGACCAGCCTTGTGCTATGTAGAGGAGAAACTTCATCCCTACTATCTACAATATTGTCCAGCCTTGTGCTATGTAGAGGAGACACTTCCTCCCTACTGTCTACAATATTGTCCAGCCTTGTGCTATGTAGAGGAGACACTTCCTCCCTACTCTGTACAATATTGTCCAGCCTTGTGCTATGTAGAGGAGACACTTCCTCCCTGACCATAATAGTTCTTGGGCTGTGACTCCCATGCCTGCCTACAGCACAGTGCAATGCTAGTAACTGGAAAGACGGAAAGATGCCAACAACAATGGAAATGTGCACACTTGGGACAGCCCACTACTCTAGCTCTCTTGTGTATGAGTTATGAAACATCTGAGAATACTGGCTGGAAAACAAGCAGCGATACAACTCTCAAAAACACAGTTACCACACACGCACCAACACACACACAAAACCTGAAAATACTGACTGACTGTAAGAGTAACAATGTTACAAAATCAACTGATAACCTCATGAAACAGTATCTTAGAGTAAATCCATGACCGACCTGCAATTTGTGGTGTGCATCTTTCATCATAACACGAATAGCTTTTTCCACAAATTCTGGATCCTTCATTTTCACATTGCTGCTCCCCAGTGCAGGAACCTGCAACAATATATTCTAGTTTATAAAATGTTCAATCCAGAATGTCATACACCGAGTTTTATCATAACCTCTCATGTATTTCTGTCTTATTCCTTAACTTGGATGTTGAAAAAAAAATATGATGTGGTAACTTCAGTTCAGTTCAAGTGATCATTGATGCAATCTAGACAGGTTAACAGGTGAATAGATCTTAGCTTAGCAATTCTATCTTACTCCTCTTCTTTTAAGTACATGTGAAGACGTGTTGTGCCCATTTACAACATGGCTGCAATATTCGCACCTTTTGGTGAACATATCCCATTTTTGCAGGCAGTTGTTTAGCCTTCCCGGGTAAGTCTATCAGCACGTATGACTGGCTGTCTGTCCTTTTGTTTGACACCTGAAATGCTGCTTGGCTCTGGCCACACTGATCTTCAATCCATATGTAGTAATTCTGACTAAGAGACTGAAGAAACAATAGAAAGTAGAAAAAAAAGCTGTATTTCAGAAAATGACAAACATCTTTTATAATGTCACTTTTTTTTTAATGTTAGAAAAAGTGTACTGAAATGGCATATGTAACTAATGTTACTAAAATGTTAAACTGAAAATATTCTGCTGTGTGGCAGTGAGTCCTGGAATGTGAACAAACAAACATGGAAGAGTTTGAAGGCAACAGAGATGTGTCTGCAATGAATGCTGCTAACACCTTGAACAGTCAGGGTAGCTAACAATGACTGTCTAGAAACAGGGGATGAAAGCAAGGGCAAAGGATTGTTAGCTTCTGCATGTCTTTGCTAGTATTATATATTAAAATGTGATACTGTACTACAGGAATGTTGCATGTTGAATTAAGAATTGACATCACAGTACTCGGGAACACTCCCATAGGTGTTCCTTTCCCATCTTTAGTAGCAGGTGAAGAGTTCTAATTCCAATGGTATCAGTAACTATCTGACTGTACATCCGTCTCACCTTTCTCTTGAGCGTCAGCCAGATTATCTGGTAACTTCCTGCAGCAATAAACTACTGTGCTAGAGGAAGGTATGGAAATCAAAGTCTATCATTTTGGGCAATTAAGGCCAGCGATCAAGTTCCATACTTCCCATAGTAAAAAGCCTAGGCAGTATTAGAGACCATATGTTGCCCGTGCAGCAAGATCCCTCTCTCGGTCTGTCTTGTTTCCCCCAAAGAACAGATAACAGGTAGTACCACAGCAAATACTACTGCTGGAGTAGGAAAGGATATCACACATCCTGGCCATGGCATTCAAGGTGGGGTGTGAAGTTTCCTTCCTCATGGACTTCCCTTCCCAGTGTATTCCCATAACATTCTAGAAACTGTCTGGTTACACAGTTTCATGAGGCTGGGTGACCATCACCCCCCCCCCCCTTTCCCGGCCGAAACCAATGTTATTGTTGTCTCTGCTGGAGGCTGAATCGGCACCAGTGTTCTGGCAGGCAAGTGCACTAGCCAAGATGCTGCTCTGGCTTCTCTGTGTGAGTTCACAGAAAAGGACCTTTCTATACCAGCCGCAACTATTATGCTAGACATTACTATAGACCTGTCAACACTTGGTGGCGGCTATCCTCCGAATAACGGTCCCAAATTATCGAAGCCGAAAATATACTCTAACAGGGCCTCAGTCAGATGTAAATTGCTGACCTCTTTCCGGCGAATACACAGCATACCACGGAAAAGCTTCTGCCGAGTTAAAGTCACCACTGAGAGTATCTCCGTTGCCACGTGTAGCTGCGTGGGGCTAAACTAGAGGGCTGAGACCCAAGAGCAGCAGCTACCGCATCTCCTGCAGCTTCCTTCATTTTATTTGCTCATGAGTCCCGGCCATCTAGTAAAGCCCCATTCCACGCCGCTACGTGCGGCACGGAAAATACTCCCGGTGGTGGCTGTATAGTCACCGGAAAGAAGTCTGCAATTTACATGTGACTGGGGCCCTGTTAGGGTATATTTTCAGCCTCGATAATTTGGGACCGTTATTTGGAGGATAGCCCTTGGTGGCTGATGTGGCTATAATAATCATGGGGAGGGGGGGGGGTGTCACCTTTACATCCCAGGACATTATATGGTACACAATTTAGGCTGGGTCAACTGGGGACCTGAGGCAAATTTTGAAAGAAAAAGAGTGAGAAGACATTAATGTCTTTACTATTTGACAGGGCACATGATGATGATGATTAACCTGACCTGGTGCTTTTAAAGCATCTGGTGCAGTAAACTGCTTCAGCTGTTCTCTATAGGGGTTAAACATCATGTTTTGGTTTCAGTATGTAATGCTCTGCTTATAAGCCACACCCATCCCCCAGATTCTGCCTGAAGTGAACTGAAATTATTGGGTATGGAGGAGAAAGTGAAACTAATACTAACAGAGCCCTTTGGTACTGGACTGCTACTGAAGGAACTGAAAAAGACAAAGAATTTGAAACAGATGCCTGAAGAAAGGGATAATGAAGAAATGATTAGAGGTAAAGATTGCATGGAGATCTAATGAATGTGCACTTTACCTGCAATATTTCAGTTATGATGGTTGTATTTATGGCTGATACTTAAACCCACCCACACTGGGCTACAGGTCACATGGTAATAGTTTTGTGGTGCTCCAATAAAACTGTTCAGAGAGACCAAAGCTGTTGGACTGGATTCTTTCCATGATATACTGAACTGACTACACAGTATAGAATGGAAAAGACCTCAAGCCTTAGTGACACATTATGGCACAAAAGCACAATGAAGAGATAACTGTGCTATATAGCTACACAGTATAGAATGGAAAAGACCTCAAGCCTTAGTGACAAATTATGGCACAAAAGCACAATGAAGAGATAACTGTGCTATATAGCTACACAGTATAGAATGGAAAAGACCTCAAGCCTTAGTGACAAATTATGGCACAAAAGCACAATGAAGAGATAACTGTGCTATATAGCTACACAGTATAGAATGGAAAAGACCTCAAGCCTTAGTGACAAATTATGGCACAAAAGCACAATGAAGAGATAACTGTGCTATATAGCTACACAGTATAGAATGGAAAAGACCTCAAGCCTTAGTGACAAATTATGGCACAAAAGGATAATGAAGAGATAACTGTGCTATATAGCTTCACAGTATAGAATGGAAAAGACCTCAAGCCTTAGTGACAAATTATGGCACAAAAGCACAATGAAGAGATAACTGTGCTATATAGCTACACAGTATAGAATGGAAAAGACCTCAAGCCTTAGTGACAAATTAAGGCACAAAAGCACAATGAAGAGATAACTGTGCTATATAGCTACACAGTATAGAATGGAAAAGACCTCAAGCCTTAGTGACAAATTATGGAACAAAAGCACAATGAAGAGATAACTGTGCTATATAGCTTCACAGTTGAATGGAAAAGACCTCAAGCCTTAGTGACAAATTATGGCACAAAAGCACAATGAAGAGATAACTGTGCTATATAGCTACACAGTATAGAATGGAAAAGACCTCAAGCCTTAGTGACAAATTATGGAACAAAAGCACAATGAAGAGATAACTGTGCTATATAGCTTCACAGTTGAATGGAAAAGACCTCAAGCCTTAGTGACAAATTATGGCACAAAAGCACAATGAAGAGATAACTGTGCTATACAGCTACACAGTATAGAATGGAAAAGACCTCAAGCCTTAGTGACAAATTATGGAACAAAAGCACAATGAAGAGATAACTGTGCTATATAGCTTCACAGTTGAATGGAAAAGACCTCAAGCCTTAGTGACAAATTATGGCACAAAAGCACAATGAAGAGATAACTGTGCTATATAGCTACACAGTATAGAATGGAAAAGACCTCAAGCCTTAGTGACAAATTATGGCACAAAAGCACAATGAAGAGATAACTGTGCTATATAGCTACACAGTATAGAATGGAAAAGACCTCAAGCCTTAGTGACAAATTATGGCACAAAAGCACAATGAAGAGATAACTGTGCTATATAGCTTCACAGTATAGAATGGAAAAGACCTCAAGCCTTAGTGACAAATTAAGGCACAAAAGCACAATGAAGAGATAACTGTGCTATATAGCTTCACAGTTGAATGGAAAAGACCTCAAGCCTTAGTGACAAATTAAGGCACAAAAGCACAACGAAGAGATAACTGTGCTATATAGCTACACAGTATAGAATGGAAAAGACCTCAAGCCTTAGTGACAAATTAAGGCACAAAAGCACAATGAAGAGATAACTGTGCTATATAGCTTCACAGTTGAATGGCTTGTCCAGGATTTGTAGCTGTCTGATTCTAATCCTTGAGATACTAATCCTACAGAATACAAATAGGTAAAACTTTAATTTAGAAAAACAGGCTCTCCTTCAATCTCCCCCCCCCCCCCCCCTCCTCCATATTATGGCAGCCAAACAAATACCCTGAAGGGCTTCAGTCCTATGCAAAATGTGGAGTTCCTGCCGAGGAACAAATCGCGGCAAAACTAGGATCGGCTCCGAACAACGGGCCAATATTATTGAGGGCAAACAAATGCTCTAACAGGGTCTCAGCGATATGTTAATTGCGGACCTGTTTCTGCGACTATGTCGCACCGCTGACAGTATTGTATTTCCTGCACCGCTATGCGCGGCGCGGATTGGGGGCTAAACTGGATGGCTGGGACTCATGAGCAGCAGCTACTGTATCTCCTGCAACTTTCTCCAATTTATTTGCTCGTGAGTCCCAGGCATCTAGTTTAGATCCCCATCCACGCCACGCATAGCGGTGCAGGGGATACTGTCAGCAGTGAGTTCAACCGCGATTTTGCGCATGCCGAAAAGTGTGAGAACAACGACGACACTAATCTGCGTTGGAGCGCGTAGTCTCCCCACCATGTCGCTATTATCGTTTGTAATGTTGCGTGTCTCGAAAGTGTCAATGGTCGCTTTTATCGTCTGCTAGTTTCGTTTGTAAAAACGCTTGAATTTGTAAACGGTCGCTATTATCGTCTCTTGAAATTGTCAAGTAATCCTAGTTTTGCCGTGATGTGTTCGTCGGAGAAAGTCCACATTTTACACATGACTGAGACCTTGTTAGGGTATTTGTTTGGCTGCCATAATATGGGGGGGGGGGAGATCGAAGGAGAGCCGAAAAACAAATGAACACATGAAAGCTTTAAAGCAGTGTTTCTCCTCATGCAAGGCAGATACATATGTCATTATCATTGAATAAATAAATGAACATATGTCAACGTCAATAAGTACTGCGTTTTAGTTTTGTAGACTAGATTCTTTTGAGTAGGTCTTTTCGTGATCTTGATTTCAACAACGCTATTTATTTATTTCATCATTAGTACTGTAGCGACTACGGTGTTCGGCAATTTGTGGTCTTTTCGGGAATTTCCGTTACCCGGTAACCGTTCAAAACTTGTTTGGGAAATGTCAGCTGGTTTTGGGATGGGTCCTAATCTCTTATGAAATTTTGCGATTGGTGTGATTTTGACCAGCTATAAATAGCTGAAAACGGCAGGAACGAACCCGATTAACAGCACATGTCTACGACAGCCTGACATGCTCTGTTTTTCTGTTACATCAGTTTGATTGAAAATAGCGGTAAGTATTCAAGGTTGGCTTTAGGCTTTAACATTACTTGACATGGTAATGCAAGTTATAATTGAATTCTCCATCCAATTTTACATTTGTATATAAAATTTCTTTCTTATGTATGGCTTAGTAGTCGATTTACAGTAGACATTTTTTTAGGCAATCGCTATTATGGCTGTGTCTACAAAAAATTGTCTGCCATCTTGTCTTGTGACTTATTGACCTTTAAACCATAACAGTTCTTAAATAATTCCTGTTTCTGGGACGCGAGTTTTAACACCTTAACAGCTGTTTGTTTACATCTGATTTCCACAAAAACCTAGATATCTCGGCTTAGAATTGACATACGAGCATAAATTAGGTACCGTTGGAAAGAGATTGTTTACAGCTATCTAACTGTGCTGGTTTTATTGCTATAGGAGCATTTTGAAAATTTGACCAAAGTACCTAGAAAGTACCAGTCTGAATTGATGTACCTGTAAAAACTTTCCTATTTTCTATTTAATGCCATGTCATTGAAGAACACGAGAGGGAGACAAAAGATGAGACGAAGAATAAGATATAGTTAAGATCAGCTTTAATAAAAGAGTCGTAGTAACATAAACAATATGCCTAAGCTTCCACTTTGCCAAAATCAGTTTCTTAGAACTCCTGAGATGACGGTGGCACACTCAGTGTAGTAATTACTAATTGTATTATTATAGTGCTGCAAGTAACGTGCACACCACTTACCAATTCTATCAAAGATTCCATTGTTGTGCTGCTAAAAAAAAAGAATATTCTGGCAGGTATACGTCACTAGTAGCCGAAACTATGATCCCTGTCGCATGTTAAAGGGTCAGTGAAGAGAAGTGCAGACATCCCGGGTGACTGGCCGGCTTCAAGAGCAAAAGTGAAAACATACAACCTACGATCTGACATGACCTTTTATGGACTTTCGTTAACGTTAAGAAACAGAAGAGCGGTAGTCAATGGGAGAGAACTCATCAAATGTTGTAGCAGTTATCACATAAATTATGTCTCCCAGGGTTTTTGTTTTCAAAGGCTAAACTAAAATCTTTCAGCATGGTCATCACACCGACGTTTAACTACATCTGCCCGTATCTCCTCCAACCGATAGTGTTCTTCTGCTTGTCTTTGCTTTCTGATTTTCACTGACAGACAAGTTCTTGTGATAAACTTTACTGTTTTTAAGAGTTCCTCTTTAGTTTCTTACAACTTTGAGTACAGTGTTGACACACTGGGCCTGTATTGCCTTCTTCATGGGATGTACAAGAAGCATTCTTGCAGACATGTTCTGTAGTCTGCGTACACAGCGCACAAGGGCATAATGGTGACCTACTTAGAAGAAGCCAGCGATTAAGCTTGTTAAGTTTTTTTTTGGGTCTTGTCCTGAGGCGCAGAATAATGACTTGCCCATGCCGGTCAAGTAAATGGTAGTCATCTCTGAGTTTTTAAAAGAGTAGGAAATTATAGAGAAGAGAAGAAAAAGGGGTAGGAAAAAAATAAATATTTATGTCAGCTCACAGTCAGTAGAGATTATGCTTGACTTCTGATAGACTGGATGGCCCTTTTCTTCTCGAAGTATGTTATTGCGTTCTCTTCTCCTCATGTGACCCCAAGTTTATCCCCGATTTCGTTACCTGGCATACCACTGTGGGATGGCACCCAATGGAGTACAGTACACTTCTGGGCTGCCACGTTGCTTAGATCAGATCTCTGGTGAGTGAGTTTGCCCTTCTTAAGGGCTTTGAGCACAAATAGCGCATCTGTGAAGATAACCACTTGGTGGCAGTCAGAACTGGTGCTGAGCAATATTTCGACAGCCTGCTGTAGTGCTAGGATCTCTGCTGTGTAGTTGGAACAAAATTTATAAATAGGTATATACTTTGTGTGGCTGTGGTTGTCTGGGTATATACTTTGTGTGGCTGTGGTTGTCTGGGTATATACTTTGTGTGGCTGTGGTTGTCTGGGTATATATTTTGTGTGGCTGTGGTTGTCTAGGTATATACTTTGTATGGCTGTGGTTGTCTGGGTATATACTTTGTGTGGCTGTCTGGGTATATACTTCGTGTGGCTGTGGTTGTCTAGGTATATACTTTGTATGGCTGTGGTTGTCTAGGTATATACTTTGTGTGGCTTTGGTTGTCTAGGTATATACTTTGTGTGGCTGTGGTTGTCTAGGTATATACTTTGTGTGGCTGTGGTTGTCTAGGTATATACTTTGTGTGGCTGTGGTTGTCTAGGTATATACTTTGTGTGGCTGTGGTTGTCTGGGTATATACTTTGTGTGGCTGTGGTTGTCTAGGTATATACTTTGTGTGGCTGTGGTTGTCTGGGTATATACTTTGTGTGGCTGTGGTTGTCTAGGTATATACTTTGTGTGGCTGTGGTTGTCTAGGTATATACTTTGTGTGGCTGTGGTTGTCTAGGTATATACTTTGTGTGGCTGTGGTTGTCTAGGTATATACTTTGTGTGGCTGTGGTTGTCTAGGTATATACTTTGTGTGGCTGTGGTTGTCTAGGTATATACTTTGTGTGGCTTTGGTTGTCTAGGTATATACTTTGTGTGGCTGTGGTTGTCTAGGTATATACTTTGTGTGGCTGTGGTTGTCTAGGTATATACTTTGTGTGGCTGTGGTTGTCTAGGTATATACTTTGTGTGGCTGTGGTTGTCTAGGTATATACTTTGTGTGGCTGTGGTTGTCTAGGTATATACTTTGTGTGGCTGTGGTTGTCTGGGTATATACTTTGTGTGGCTGTGGTTGTCTGGGTATATACTTTGTGTGGCTGTGGTTGTCTAGGTATATACTTTGTGTGGCTGTGGTTGTCTGGGTATATACTTTGTGTGGCTGTGGTTGTCTGGGTATATACTTTGTGTGGCTGTGGTTGTCTAGGTATATACTTTGTGTGGCTGTGGTTGTCTGGGTATATACTTTGTGTGGCTGTGGTTGTCTAGGTATATACTTTGTGTGGCTGTGGTTGTCTGGGTATATACTTTGTGTGGCTGTGGTTGTCTAGGTATATACTTTGTGTGGCTGTGGTTGTCTAGGTATATACTTTGTGTGGCTGTGGTTGTCTAGGTATATACTTTGTGTGGCTGTGGTTGTCTAGGTATATACTTTGTGTGGCTGTGGTTGTCTGGGTATATACTTTGTGTGGCTGTGGTTGTCTGGGTATATACTTTGTGTGGCTGTGGTTGTCTAGGTATATACTTTGTGTGGCTTTGGTTGTCTAGGTATATACTTTGTGTGGCTGTGGTTGTCTAGGTATATACTTTGTGTGGCTGTGGTTGTCTAGGTATATACTTTGTGTGGCTGTGGTTGTCTGGGTATATACTTTGTGTGGCTTTGGTTGTCTGGGTATATACTTTGTGTGGCTGTGGTTGTCTGGGTATATACTTTGTGGGGCTGTGGTTGTCTGGGTATATACTTTGTGTGGCTGGGGTTGTCTAGGTATATACTTTGTGTGGCTGTGGTTGTCTGGGTATATACTTTGTGTGGCTGTGGTTGTCTAGGTATATACTTTGTGTGGCTTTGGTTGTCTAGGTATATACTTTGTGTGGCTGTGGTTGTCTAGGTATATACTTTGTGTGGCTGTGGTTGTCTGGGTATATACTTTGTGTGGCTGGGGTTGTCTGGGTATATACTTTGTGTGGCTGTGGTTGTCTGGGTATATACTTTGTGGGGCTGTGGTTGTCTGGGTATATACTTTGTGTGGCTGGGGTTGTCTAGGTATATACTTTGTGTGGCTGTGGTTGTCTGGGTATATACTTTGTGTGGCTGTGGTTGTCTAGGTATATACTTTGTGTGGCTGTGGTTGTCTGGGTATATACTTTGTGTGGCTGTGGTTGTCTAGGTATATACTTTGTGTGGCTGTGGTTGTCTAGGTATATACTTTGTGTGGCTGTGGTTGTCTGGGTATATACTTTGTGTGGCTGTGGTTGTCTAGGTATATACTTTGTGTGGCTGTGGTTGTCTAGGTATATACTTTGTGTGGCTGTGGTTGTCTGGGTATATACTTTGTGTGGCTGTGGTTGTCTGGGTATATACTTTGTGTGGCTGTGGTTGTCTGGGTATATACTTTGTGTGGCTGTGGTTGTCTAGGTATATACTTTGTGTGGCTGTGGTTGTCTAGGTATATACTTTGTGTGGCTGTGGTTGTCTTGGTATATACTTTGTGTGGCTGTGGTTGTCTAGGTATATACTTTGTGTGGCTGTGGTTGTCTAGGTATATACTTTGTGTGGCTGTGGTTGTCTGGGTATATACTTTGTGTGGCTGTGGTTGTCTAGGTATATACTTTGTGTGGCTGTGGTTGTCTGGGTATATACTTTGTGTGGCTGTGGTTGTCTGGGTATATACTTTGTGTGGCTGTGGTTGTCTGGGTATATACTTTGTGTGGCTGTGGTTGTCTGGGTATATACTTTGTGTGGCTGTGGTTGTCTGGGTATATACTTTGTGTGGCTGTGGTTGTCTAGGTATATACTTTGTATGGCTGTGGTTGTCTGGGTATATACTTTGTGTGGCTGTGGTTGTCTGGGTATATACTTTGTATGGCTGTGGTTGTCTGGGTATATACTTTGTGTGGTTGTCTAGGTATATACTTTGTGTGGTTGTCTAGGTATATACTTTGTATGGCTGTGGTTGTCTGGGTATATACTTTGTGTGGTTGTCTAGGTATATACTTTGTGTGGTTGTCTAGGTATATACTTTGTGTGGCTGTGGTTGTCTGGGTATATACTTTGTGTGGCTGTAGTTGTCTGGGTATATACTTTGTGTGGCTGTGGTTGTCTGGGTATATACTTTGTGTGGCTGTGGTTGTCTGGGTATATACTTTGTGTGGCTGTGGTTGTCTGGGTATATACTTTGTGTGGCTGTGGTTGTCTAGGTATATACTTTGTGTGGCTGTGGTTGTCTGGGTATATACTTTGTGTGGCTGTGGTTGTCTGGGTATATACTTTGTGTGGCTGTGGTTGTCTGGGTATATACTTTGTATGGCTGTGGTTGTCTGGGTATGTGATAAAGAGGCCAGCAGCCCCAGTTTTAACCGCACTGGTTGCTGAACAATCTGCAGTAAGCTTGCATTCACGACTGTTTGCCATAGCTTTCCTGGATCATACTGAGGGCAGCCGATCGTTTTTGAAGGACATTTGACTCATCTTCGGCTGTCATTATCTGTATTGTGTTGCTGGTTCTTCTCCCAAAATACAGGGTAGGTTTGAGCGGTGTTTTTCTCATGAGCAGATACTGTCTTTAAAGTCTTTTCACCCAGTGGACAAAATTGCCCTAGTTTGAGATACCCAAATGCCAGATAATGTTGTCTTCCTTTCATTGGGTGTGATTGAATAACTATTAAACTTCTCCATCTGAATCATAGGTTTAGTATGTCTTTCTGCACTGCAGTTACTGTCTGCATTTCTAGGATTGGTGCAGTTTTCACGGCACCTGTCACGAGTCAAAGGGCTTGATTTTGCGCTCTGTCTTATGATTGTAGATCAGAGTTAGCGGCTGACGACCAAGCTGTTGCACCAAACTCCAAGTGAGTCTAATCGCTCCATTATAAATTTTCTTTAAGGTTTTACATTCGCTCCCAAAACCTGTACCTGCCAGTTTTCTAAGTAGTCGTCTCCTGGCCTTCCCTTGAACATTTTCTATATGTTTGCTTCACGTGAGCCTTTTACCAAATGTTACTCTAAGATAAGTGGGGAAGCTTTCTTCCTTTAGCAAGGATGTTCCTAGGTGAATACAATCATCTTTGTCCCTGGGGGAAAGAGAGAAAAGTGTTGTGGATGTTTTGTCTGTGTTGATCGCAACATGCCATTTCTCTGCCCATGTCATTAAGAGATCTGTTGCTCGCTGCATTTTTAGATTTACCACTTTGGTATGCAGTATGTCTTACTAGCTATCTCCTTGTGAGTTGCAATTTTTTGTTATTTTGAAGCCTCACCATGGCTCTTGCCAGGGCAGCAATATAACCCGGCCAAAAA